TATATATATATATATAATATAATATAATATAATAATATATATAGAAAGAAAGAAAGAAAACAAGTAGATAGAATAGAGAAAGCTAGTGTTATAGAGGCCTTTTTAAATAAAACGAAAACAAACAGATAAAATAGAATTAGAATAGAGAGTTGAGTAAGAGGGTCAAAAAAGATGGAAGAGATGTATTTTAGCACATCTATCTATCTATCTATCTATCTATCTATCTATCTATCTATCTATCTATCTATCTATCTATCTATGATTTAGATCAAAGATAGATAGATATTTATGTAAATCTAAATAATCTCAAAGAGGAAAAATAAACACCCCACACACTTACTTTGGGATCTTTTTATTTATATCTGAATACAGATATAGGTGTGTTTATTTTTCCTCTTTGAGATTATTTAGATTTACTTAAATAATGAATACAAACAACAAGAAACCGCTATGGTTTGACCACACAGGGTTAAATAAAACATTGTTTTTGTTAGGTAAAAGTAAATCAGATGAATGTATGGAATGTAAAATCACAGAAAATGCAGAACATTGTAGGAAGTATATGGAAGAGAGGATTAGATTAAACCAAAAGATAAGTCAGATAGGAAGAAAATGGAACCTTGAGGGTGTTTTGGGAACAACAGGAGAAGGGGTTAAAGATGCACAGGATGCTGTTGTGGAAAACCTGAAGGATACAGGGGTATATTATAGGATTTAGATAGTAGTGCTATAATATTTATTTATTTATTATTATTATTATTACTATTATTTTTATTTTTTTATATATATATATAATGTAAAGTGCAGTCATTGAGATATAATCATAGGATATAATCCCTGCTGCATACTCCAATACAGTAGGTGGCGGTATGCACCTCATAAGTCATGGTTGCAATCCGCCATAAAACTAACAAGAAGAAGAAGGAAAAAAAAGCAATTAGTTCAAGGACTGTTTAGGACCCGAGAAGAACAATCAACATCAAGAAAGGATTTAATCTATGAAGTACTTATAAATCTGTTTAGGATTCAGGAAATTGGTATAGTCCTGAGGTTCCTACGGGTACCTGCACATGTAGGAGTACTAGGAAATGAAATAGTCGATAAACTGGCAATGAAAAAAACAAGCAATGAAACATGAACGTTGAGGTACAAATTCCACTGAGTAAAGTAGAAATAAAAGGAAGAATTAAAGAGCACATGAATAAAAAGTGGCAGGAAATGTGGGACAAGGAGTTAAAGGGCAGACACCTATAGGCTACAATATCCAAAAAGTTGCCAAAGGGAGAGTATGCTTTAACAATAGAAAAGAAGACATAATAATTACTCGACTTCGAATAGGACATTCTGGTTTAAATCATTCATTATTCACAATAGGGAAACATCAGTCAGGATTATGTACTACATGCAGTGAAGCAGAGACTATTGAGCATGTACTTCTACATTGTGCAGTATATACCAAAGAAAGAGAGGAGTTATTTAAGAAACTGAGAAACATAGGTATATATATATATATATATATATATATATATATATATATATATATATTTGTTTTTCTTTTCTCCCTCTTTCCCGTTAATGCTTCACACTCCAGTCCAGTTGGTGGCGGTAATACACCATAAGTTGGCTTGTCAACCGCCATAAATTCGTGCAGAACACTCACTGCAGTGTTCGCTTCGGTGCAGCAGGTGGCAGTAAGTCTTCAAGAGGCTGATGACAAGCGTATAGAAGAAGACTTTTAGCTGTGGACGGTGCGGGCTGCTTTTGTCTTATCCTTACATTTGTTACTGTACTTTTATTTATCTATTTTTGGAGGTGAATTCACTCTTTCGTTTTCTAGAATACCCAAGTAGGAAACGGATAGGCAGCCGGACGAGGTGATACAAGTTTAAGCGTTATAAAGTGAAGTAGAGCATCGGATGATCTCTAGTTAAGTTAACGTTAGCCGGTTGAAGGTACGTTCAGTTGATTTCACACATACATCAACATCCTCATAAAACAAATAGATATTTTACGGCTAGCTTAACGCCTTTTTGCTTACATTCAAGCCAGGAATAATATCCTTGTTGTATTAATCCAGCATGACAAGAATACTGAGAACATGTCCATTTCCTTTGTCTTTAAAAAATTTATTTATTTATTTTATTTGGGACTTATTAAAAGTTTGAATCATTTAGAGAGCCGGGCTTTCATTAATGGGTTTATTTTCCCATAATGCCTTGGGAGTATTTACCAAAATAAAATAAATATATGAACTTGAAATGTTGAGTGGAACCTAAATTATTATTTAGAAAGGATAAAGAAATCAATAAGTTATAGACGAACATTTAGAATGCACAACAATATTACTCTATATCATTGATAAATGGTTGTTAATCTGAAATCCACTTTACTTTTTCTATAAATGGGTTAAGTAACATATTCAACTACTGTATACTGTAGCTGAACTACTCACTTTTTCTCTGTAACTTTTCTGCTCTCCAACACTATGGTTGACAGAATAAATGAATCAAGGCTGACTGCCCATTTTTTTTACAGTGTGGTACGTGATGCTGCAACCACAACTTTTAGATGTCTGCACAACAAGAGTCGTGAAAGTGTTCTGTTGTACGTATGCAGTGTGTATGTTCATATACACTTGTGTTCTCACAGGTTATTAACGGGACTTCTTGCTCTGCAGTGATGACGTCCCTGGTAAGTGCCTCAGCATAGTTGTGGTTGGTCGGATTGTTCAACACCAGCCAGATTCGGCAGAATGCAAATTGTGCGTCATTTTAGACATTGTCTACATTTTTATCTATTACAGTCATCATACTGTACAGATCGGCAATAAAACATTTAGTCAGTGTTGTCTGTCTCTCAGGCCTAAGAGATTGTTCTTGTTTGCAGGGGAGCAGCAGTTCCTCCGCAACAGAGTATGTTGTACGAGTTCCAAAGTAAGATTTGTATTTTATTTATTTTATTATTATATACTTCTATTATAAATTCAATTACTGACTCTATAGTGCTGTCAAAGAAAGCTGTTGATATCTGAATTCTGGTATTTTGCCCAACAGAAACACCAGTAAGAAATACAACATAATGGCTTTCAATGCTGGTGATAAAGTCAGTTGTTCCACGTGGACTCAGGTAACAGTCATTATATATGGCCACTGCTTACACTTACCATGCAATATTTCCTTCACTGTATTTATCTCTCTCTCTGTGTATATATGCAATGTTTAGGCTCGTATGGAGCGTGACATGAGTAATAGGCGTATATATGGTGAAGAGGAGACTCAAGAGGGGGCAGCTGGCAGTGAGTTTGGAAAGAAACAGAGAGAGGAAGCACGGAGGAAGAAGTATGGTATCGTTACGAAGGAGTTCAAGGTGGAGGACCAGCCCTGGATCCTTAAAGTTAATGGCAAGGCAGGAAGAAGGTACACGTTTCTGCTTTTATACTTTTTGTCTTATTGACACTTGTTTTGTGCTACATTTGAGTAAGTTTAGCTACCCATACTTACAGTAAATCTTAATAAGCCGATAATTGTTCTGTGTGAATGAGTGGCGAAGATTTTTCTACTACACATACTCAAGCAAGCATGACACGAACAGTGTTTTCAGCATCTGCTCTCTAACTATCCAATCGCCCATCCATTAAAAAAAAGTGTCTCCGGGGGGGTGAACAAAGGCCTTCTGTAGCGAATTGATGCGTTTTTGTAAGAAAAATATCCATATTCAAAACGTAATAATCACTTTAATCTAGCTTGCGCCAACAGTTGTACACGGAAGCAGCTCCGGGCTGAAAATGGATGGGCGCTTTTTATTGAAGTTCTTTTGGACTGATGCACTGCAACACCCGCTGAGTGGCATTAAACAGCTTGAAAGATCAAAGACAATTTTTTATATAACTCAGACTGGATTCGTCTGAAAG